TGAAACACATACATTTTAATTTCCTATTTAATTTTGAACTTCAAAAGATTTCTTTCAGACTTCATCAAAAGTGACCAAACAACTGTAGAGACAGGACACGAAAGTTCAGCTCTTCTGACATCTCAACACATGTTGAGACACACAGTCTGGGCTACTAGTACAAGACAGTTCATCTAAAGTAAATGTCATGTTCTACAATAAAAGCACAGACTTAAACCCAAGTACGCTTTAGCCAAAATTAGGAACAGCAGATACAAGTAATCTTTACCTTTGCTGCAGAAACATTAATTGTTGCAAGAACAAATTAGAATTTCTTTGTAAGAAAACAGACCAAATTAAAGCTTCAAATTATCAAAAGAGGACTCTGTTAAGAGGATTATTACATGTTGTAATTTTCCTCTTTCACGAAAAAAAAATATATCTGTGTGATATGTAGTTAAAAAAGCCTAGTATGGTTAGTATGAAACCTAGTTATAGTTAAAAGGTCTGTGCACTAATGCACCTTGACAGATCATTCTCCTTCCTTTAAGAATCCTCTTTCTCTATTTTCAGAGGTGAAGAAGAATATCACATTTAAAGTAGAGTATTTCTGCAAAACTACACAAGTAAAATGTACATTCTATGACATAAATATTTTATTGAGAATGGTGATTGGCAAGGCCAACATAAACATCCCGTGATATAACTGCCCAGTGACAGTCAGCATACAGGTCTCCATATGCGAAGTAGGAGGTATTATCCATGTTGGTTTCTGAAGTGATTCTGTAACCAACATAACATAAAAGCTATCTGTTCTTATTTATCCTTTACCTCCAACCAAGCAGGATCTGAGAACAAGTATTTTATAAGCATGATAACAACTACACATATACATTAAACCGTGAAACTTAAACTTAACTTTTGAGATATTTTTATTTGAGCAGAACTGATGCTACTAAGAATCACATAGTATATTAAAAAAAAATCACTTATTCCACACATATGCAAAAGAAGGGAAACCCGGCTCAGAACATGTCTGATAATTACAAAGATAGGTTCAAACGCTGAACGGGCAGATTCTTCCCCCGTGAGAGACCTGAGCCTGCGCCACAGCGCTACTAGGAGCTCCCGGCCTTGGAACGTGATGGGAAATGCCTGCACGAGCCAAGCGATCCCCAAGGAAAAACTCTGCTCTTCCACAGCTCTTTAACAGCACCTGTCGGGATGCCGTCTCCACAACTCTTTCCTCAGTAAGGGCATGCGTTCCATTCCTTTACTTTACCCTTTAAAAGAGTTTAACACCCAGTACCGCTCAAAAAAAAAAAATCCGCAGATCGCTTCACGCACCGCGTTGCAGGTAAATAAAACACGCCACTACCGCACAGCCCTGTCCTCTCCGCCCCGGGAGCGTCTGTGGAAGGACAGAGGCCCCAGGTAGAGCGACCCCGGGGGCCCCGCGCCCGCCGGCCCCGCTCCAGCCCCGCGTCCGCCTGGACACCCGGGTGAGACCCGCCGCGACCTTTGCCCTCCTCGGCGCCGCGCCAGCCACTGGCCCCACCCGCCCCGCCGGGCGGTCACCCCAGCCCAGCCCCAGCCCCAGCCCCAGCCCAGCCCCGGCCCCCGGGCGTCCAGCCGTCCCCGGCGCGTTACCTCGGCCGGCGGACGGGCAGCCATAGAGCAGCATCGCAGCGAACCCGGGCTCCCTCCGCCTCCCGCGACCGCCCTGCGCGCACCCCGCGCCGGCCTCCGCCCTGCTGCGCCTGCGCGCCTGGCCGCGGCCCCGCCCCCTCCTGCCGAGGGACTACGGCTCCCAGGGCTCCTAGGGCGCCGCTCAGGGAGCCGGGCGGGCCGGCCCGCTCCCGGGGCATTGGCGCGGGAGGCGCTCGCAGGCAGTGGGAGTGCAGGGGGCGGTGCTCGGGCGGGAGGCGCGGCCGGCGGGGGGCTGGCAGTGCTGGAGCGGCGAGCGGGACATGGCCGAGGCGGCGCTGCCTCCGCCCGCGGCGGTGCCCGAAGGAGCACCCGGCGCCGAGTCCCAGAGGGTCCGTGGTGGGAGCGAGGGGTCGAGGCCGCCGGAGCTGCCCGGCGGCGACACGCGGGAGCTTCTGGAGGAGGTGGAGATGCAGATCGGCGACGTGAGTGCCGATGCGGGTCCCCTGGGGAGGGCGCCGGGGGTCCCGGTGGGGGGGTTACCGGGCGCCGGCGACCCCGAACCTCTCTGCCCTTCCTCTCAGGCCGCCTTCTCGCTGGCGAAAATCCTGGAGGCGACTTCGGCCGTGTCGGCCCAGGTGGAGGAGCTGGCCACCAAGTGCTCGGAGAACGCCCGGTTCCTACGGACGTGGCGGGACCTGCTGCGGGAGGGGTACGAGTCCCTGAAGCCCAGCGGGTGAGGCCGAGGCTGACCCAGCCCCGCCGGGTCACGCCGAGCCGCCCGCTCGTGTCGGACTGCAGCGGGGTTCCTTTTGAACCGCCTTCTTCAGGGAATTCACGCCGAGTTTTGTTTGCCCTCAGCAGCTCCCCGTGAGCCCGGATTTTTTTCAGAAATACTTGATGACTCGTGTGGATGTTTTATGTAAAAAAAAAAAATCTTTGTTTAGGGAATAAGTTTTGGCGTCTAGACTCCTCGTTGCAGCTCAAGAGATCTCGTACTCTCCCGCCTTTTTTTTTTTTTTTTTTTTTTCTCCTGTGCTAACGTGGTAGATACAAAGTATGTGTGGTACATTCGGAACTCATTATTTGTGGGGAAGTGGTGTCCTGTGAGGAAGTATCGTCAACCCTCCTTTGTAGAACTGTCACCAGCAGAAACCTTGCCGACTTCAGAGAAACTTGAACACACTTCAGGTTTTTTTTCTATGCACACTTTTTCTTCATGTTAAGTAATGGATAATATGGCAAGTTGTGGCTTATTTATGAGCTTTAGGAAAATCCTATATCCCAGACCTTACTATTTTTAGCAGTATTGCTATGTATGTCTATAAAGCTGCAGATTTTTTACAAGAAGTTTTATTATTGCAAACTGTTTTACATTATCTTTTGTTGTAATAAAGTGCCTTACGATGGACCATATACCTCTGCATGGTAAAAGTTTGACAGCGTTATTTACTGACAGGATGGATTACTTTGAACTGTAAGGAAAAGCTTCCATCAGTTAGAAAAGAATCTACGACAGGAAGCACCTCAGAGCTTTTTCAGTATTTGGTCCTATTTTTTTTTATCTTTGCCTTAAGCAGTTTCTAGTTTGTTAGTTTAGACCTTACTGTTATCAGAACCTTTTGGTCTGAAAGAACACTAATCTGTAACTGAAACTCCTGTGCCACACAGAGCACTGTGAAAAAAGTAATGCTGAAATACAAGGGCAGGCTGCAGGATAACATGACTGTACCATGATTTATTAGTTGGCTTTATTTTTACTGGTAGGAGTCTTAGAAAGACCAACTGTAGTTTACTTATCAAAACAATAAAGATGTTACAAAAATTCTGAAGTATTGACTAGTCTTCTGTTACTGATAGAAATAAAGGTAACATTGACTATAACCATAATCAAGTTAAGTGAAAAACAAGTAGTGGTAAGGACAGGGATCCTTCTATGTCTCATCAAAGGCAGTTACAGTCCTTGAGAGGGCTTGGCCCCTCAGAGCATGAAAGTTTTATTGAATCGAGTTATAATTGCTCTGGTTAAAGGCAATCCGTGTGGCAGGATTTCACTTAGCTGTTTCTAACCCCAGAACCCAAAATGTTGCTAAACAGCTTGGAAAAGAAGTCATTTTGTTCAGCAGATAATATTTTATTTCAATAAAACATACAGCAGTGGAAACAAGATGTTTAACAATCTTCAACTTCAAAATAATCCAAAGTTCTGTAAGCAGTTGAAGTGTGAGTCACACTTTTTCAAAATTCTACTTCTTATACTGTTAAGAAGTTAAGTGCAAACATTGGAAATATCTTTTAACTTAATTTTAAATAGTTTCAAATCATCAATGCAAAAAAAGCATTTCTTTTACCTTTGTGGGCTTCTAGGCCATCAGACTGAGTACGATACTGAAAGAAGAAGGGAAGTTGTAATAATTCATAATGGAAAAGATTCTCTTCAGTAAGAATATGTGAAGGAACTGCCTCTAGGGGACTGTTTCAGATGGGATAAGGTTTTTTTTTAGTTTTTTTTACCCTTGTAATTCTGGGAAAAAATAATACTCCAAAAACTGCTGAATGGCTGTGGTCTTGAAATTTTAACTACAATGCATTCAGTCAGATGCACAAGTTGACTAAATGTAGATGTCATGACACCTGTTAAGACTAATAGTTTTCTATTTGGTTGTCTCCCATGTACAGAGAGAGACATCTTAAGATGGGAATTTGTTGAAGTCTGCAAGCTGTGCTGAGCTACTTATGGTAGCCCATCAAGAAAAGTGAGGAAAAGAGCAGCATCAAGATGCTGGGATACTCAGTCCAGTCTTTCCAGGAACAGATACTCTTCTGAAGGTAGAAACTTCCACCAGCTGTAGCTGGGGGACACTCACTTGAGAAAAACCCCTCAATTTTACTATTTTATTTGCCTGGTTCTACCTGAATTAGAATCATAAAGACCATCTAGTCCCAGCCACTCCCTGCCCTGGGCAGGGACACCTCCCACTAGACCAGATTACTCAAGGTCTTGTCCAACCTGGAAACTATATTAGAACTATCATTACAACTTCAGAATTGTCTTTACATGAGTGAAATAGCTGGTAGAATTACAGAAGGAATACAATTGTCACTTGTTTGGCTCTGACCAATTAGGAAATTGAAATATTTCTCGTAGACCTATTGCTCCCTAAAACTTTTTAAGAGTTGATGCAGCCTAAATAGAGCCAGCCAGAATTCTGTGGTGAAAACACATTTCTTAATGAGGAAATAGGTTAACTCTTAAAAAAATTCAGCTGTTGAAATGGGGAATTAAAAAAAAAATAAAATAGAATAACTTTTCCCCACACACACCTCCCCAGAAACAGATAATTTTGAAACAATCTGTTTTCAGAATGAGATGTTTTAAATGAAAAATAATTTTTTTCCACACTCCTGGCTTCTGGAAGAAAAAATTCCCGAACAACTGATTTCTCATTCTGATCTAGGATGAATTGTCAAAATGTCAGGTACTGCTGTGAGATGGTAAAATTATTGTTGCGTCAGTTCTACCTATACTCAGACTTATTATTCCCTCTTCTTGCCGCAGTGGTTCACGTGAGCCCAAGTGTCACACCTCCCTCGTTTTTCCTCATTGCTGTAAAGGAGTAAGCCCACAGATATGAAGCTAACAGTACCAATGTCACCGTGAGGATTCAGAATGTGTTTACGTGTATGAATTTAGTCTTGTTGACTGTGTAGTCACTGAAGCATCAGAAGAGTCTGTACAAAGCACAGGCTTCGTAACCTTTGGCGTGATTTCATGCATTGGCCACATCTCTACCCAAATGAATGATGGACCATATATTTTCTGGCTGCCTTTACCTCTTTTGGATCTTCTTTGTCTGTAATTGTACCAAACCTGATGAATCATTTCTTTGAAAGGTCTTGTAGTCAAAGTGTAGAGAAGAGGATTCAAAGCACTATTTATTGGCAGTATAAAAATCACCACCCAAGAAGTTATGGTACCTTAGGGAGGGAAAAAGAAAGGCAGCTGTAATATGCATTCCAGAGTTTGTACCCATTCATTAACACAAGCACTTAATGCCTCTGCAGAACAGCTTCCTGGTGAGAGGGGTGGTCGTGCTCCTAGGCTGAGCTCCTGTCACAACAGGTACTTTTCTTCTCACTGCCCTCTTACCTCCCTCTGTTTCCAGGACTCCCTGCAAAACCTGACTTTTTTTTTCTCCCAGTATTTCTATTTATCCCTCTTACTTTTCTGTGCCATAGCTCCCTATTTACCCTGGCAGACTTATTGTTCTGGCTGAGCCCATTTTCTTGCCCCAAAACTTTTTGTCGCTGCTTTGTTCTCTATCTCTTCCTGGGATCTGTGTTCCCCATCCTTTTCACATGATTAGTGGCATGCAGTCTTAACAAGGTCCCCGATGTCCTATCCTCCTACAAAACAGAATCGTCCAGTCCCTGTATTCCATCGGAGACTGGTTTTCTCTTCTGCACCAGGACTACTTCTTTCCTTCCCCTGCAAAGGGCATTGTGTTTATCCTCCTTATTTTCTTTTTTTTCTATTGGCAAGAGTTTCTGTGTTCACACCATCTGCCTATGTCAGTCTGCATTTTTACAACATCTCCTTCTCATCCTTACTATTTGGGAGATAAGTTACCCAAGGAGCAGGCAGAGAAGGGACAGGATTAAAGTGCTAAAAATTGTTAGTGGGTGCCCTCCATTGCATTGTTTGATTTATAAAACTATTATAGAACTGTTCCAAGAAGCACAAAAAAATTTAATTCACTCTCCCTCCGTGACACCCCTCTCCATCCCCGTCACCAGTTTTACAACTTTGTTGCAATATCAATACATTCCTGTCCATGCCTACCACATTGGCTACACTTTTGGAGAACAGCAGATGCTTAGTTCTAAAGCTGTCACAGTGTATCCCCAAAGTAAAACAAATGCTATCAAACAGAGTTTAAGACTTCTGTAAACTTAGACAGCTAGCTGCGATGTCTTTAATTTTATGAAATGCAGAACATTAATTTACTGAACCCAGGATCACCCCGCGATTCATCAAGATTTCTTGACTCAGAATACGTCTACTTTTCATAATATTTTCTTTCAAATATCTTAGGTGGTTTGATAATTTCACAAAGAAGCATTCTAGAAGATTAAAATAACTGAATATTTGACATAATCAGCACAAATTCAAGATATTTGAAACAGAAGTCAAAACTCTGAATAGGCAATTCCCAACCCTCCTGGTCAGCACATATGGCAAAATCCTCTGAGCTACAATGCTTTCTTGCCAACATAATATTGTGACATACATCTGTACATTGAGTCTGAATCTGCTATTGCTGATTACTGATTGCTCACATGTTCATGCTTACATGTTCTAACAGGGTTTACAAACCCCCCACAAAGAGGCTGTTTTTCTGGCATGTACTGGTATTGCAAAGAGAAGGAAAAAATAAGATGCAATTTTTAATCTTTTAGGTTATGCTATTTTTACATGGGAATATATCCACAGCATGAAGAAGGTAGACAGAGCTTTATAGAACTCAATGTTATGAGCTACCAGTTTGTAAAATAAAGTTGTTTCAAAGTAAGAGTTACATAGTTAAATCAAGGTAGGAAACATTATAATGTCCTGAGCCATATTTAGGCAACAGAACCAGCAAAAGTCATAAGATGAGAAAAGTCAATACAACTCAGCCTTGGTTTTGAAATACATTTTGTACATTTTATAGATATTATATGGAGACAGACTTGAATGATTTGAATTTTGCAGTTTTTAATCTGACTCATAGGTGGCTAATCTTCGATGATTATAGTAATATAGTTCAATTAAATAGTAAAACTATATAGTCCATTAGATTATGTGTATATATAGATTAAAACAATGAAGTTAATTATAGTACTATAGTTCATTTTATTAAATTCTTCTGAAGTAGAAGCAACACTTCACACAGGCACAGTTGAAACAGCCTCACAAAAGAAAGGACATACCTGGTATTTCTACTTGAAGTAAAGAAAGGAGTTTCAAAATAAAAATAGGTATCCAACATAGTGCATCAGTAAATACAATGAAGAAGAAACGTTTAGCAAGGATCATCTCTTTTTTAATATGATTCCGAATTTCAGTAGCCATAATAGCTGTTTGGTGAACACTGTAGAACATACTCCCATAGGAAAACACAATGATGATAAAAGCTGCCAAGTTTACACCTGTTTAAAAGTTAAAATTTGTTATAATTTAACAGCATAATGGCAATTCTACATCACCTATTTGCAATCTAGGTAGTAAAGAAAAATATTTTATCTAAACTCTAGTCCCACAGAATTAAGTGGCCAGAAAATTTGAGTCCTCACCTCAAGATTGGATTTTTGCCTCTACTCAGGTATTTATTTCTGATCCAAACTACAGAGTTCTCCTCTGATCTTACTATTGCTCTACTTCCCTAAAAAAAAATCTATTAATTCAGGAACGTCATGGTCAATAATTTCTTTCTATTTTTTCAGCCCTTCATGCATTTTAAGATACATAATTACCCATCTAATAGAGTAGAATAGTCTTTAAGTGTTTGCTGAAGCCTCTAAATCCAAGGAGGTGTGAACATCACAGCTATCTTATTTGTTTGAAAACTAGGTTAATTAGCAACTCTAATCATATATAAAAAAGAAATGCAACTTACCTAAGAAAATGACAACAGAGTAAATCTGACTTCCTGAACTTTCTGATTGTTCTGAGTGAAGAGGAAAACAGACACCATTGGTGCCATAGTAGTTCCTGAAAAATTCCTTATTGCTCAGTGGGATAAAAGCAACAGCAAACCCAATTATCCAGATAAGAACCAAAATGGAAATTGTCCTGCATTTTCTGGGCTTCAAACACCTAAAAGGATAAACTATGCAGATGTATTTTTCCAAAGTCAGATATGTCAACAGTAAGACTGACACCTCTGTAGACAGAATAGCCAGCGATCCAACCAATTGACAGTGAATACTGTCCATCCACAACTGAGCGTGCTTGTTGTATTCTCCACGATACTTAAGATCAAAAGCTCCAATCACAAATAAATATATTCCCATCAGACAGTCAGCACCTGTGGGCACAGTGCTTAACATCATTATTTACACATCTGAATTTCCCATTATCTCTCTATATGTATATTGGAATACAGACATACACACATATATATACACGAGTACATATTTACAAATCAGCTAATAGATATAAAAATCCACATTACAGTTGGAATGCTATTATTAATTAAAATTAAGGCAGTATAATTAATTTTAATTATTTTATAATTATTTTTCCCTTTTTTTTTTTTTTTTTAGTTTTCATTTGGACTGACAGTCTATATTTCATACTTGTTTCCAACCTGTTTTTTTAAAGCTCAGGTAAAATTGGTTTGCAAGTAGAAAAAGATATGGCTTCATTTATAGAAATATTCTTGCAACCCTTTTTTATTAGGTCTTATTTCTTTAGATATTAACATTTGGGTTAAGAGTAATAAGCCGTCTCTGCTAGATTCAAAGGTTAGTTTTGTCCATCTTATGCTGATTCAAAACTCTTATGCATAGTCTTCTAACCCTAATAAGGGAAGATGACCTGTCAACGCAGAACTGAAGGCTTCTTAGATATTTTGCCTAAAAATTTTTCATAATATTCAGATTGTTCCAATGGAAACAACAAAGTTTCAAAATCACTGACATTTAGAAATGTTGTAATCATTTGTTGACACTTGACAACTACCTTTCAAAATGCATCTAATTGCATTTGTGAAATACTTATAGACTCTCCTGTACTGAGACAGGGTACTCAAGATTGTAGTAACTGTACTGCCAGATAGTTCATCCATAAACTTGTCTTGCTTTCAGAAGTAAAATAAAAAAAAACAATTCCTAATATTGGGGATATGGGAGAGATTAATTTTCTCTATTTGCATAAGTAACCTTTTGCTCATGCAAAAAATAGAATATCTTAATATTTACGTGCAGAAATTGTTACTTAGAAATGCATAGTGAAATATAGATTTATATTTCTTGTAAATCTATATAAATATAGATTTATATTTCTTTTCACCTTTGAAAACATTGAAATTCTATTTTTTTATGCTGAAGAAAGTGGGAATTTGAGAAAATACCCTCAGCATGAAAACCAAACATGAAAGCTTTGGAATATATCAGCCACCAAAGGCAGCATTTAATGAGAACTTCTGGTATATATGGTACAGTATTTTGTATTGTCATTTGCAACAGCATGAAAGTACAGTTAATCCAGTGCTGGAAATATGTCACTATATTATAGTAAGAACTATCACACATACTATGAGCAGACTAAAAAGATATTCTTTTATGCATGGTGTACTCACAGCAAAGAGACATTATTGAGATGGCGTGCAGCTTATTCTCTGATCTGATGTAAGGTCTCATGCAGATAACAAAAATATTTCCAAAGCAGGTGATGGCAGATACAACCCAGACAAACACTCTCTGTATGATGCTAGCTAAAAGATTCTCGAGGGAGGAAATCCCATCAGTGTTGGGCTTACAGCTGCGCACATGAGGGGCATAGCCACAGTACTGGAATTTCTTAAAATATCTGGTTGTGAGAAACAGATAAGAGATGGTTCTAGTTTGGTTATCAGAAAACCCTCTCGTAACTACTCAGAAAACATATTCTGAAAGAAGAAAAATTAATCAAAATCTGTCAAAATTTGACAACTGTTCATATGCTGCTTTTCATATGCCTGCTTTCAATTATCCAGTATTCTTTAATTGTAAAATTCAGACTAAGGAAAGCAAATTAGGATAATCTACTTACATGTGGGAAAGGTTTCTCAGGGGTCTGAACATTCTTCTCTGGATGTTTGCAATTTCAATGCCCTCCAAACTGCTGTAAAAAATATATTCTCAGTAAAAGGCCATAGAAAATCAGTAGTAAAAGAACAAACCTTATGAGCATTTAATTGTGATTACATGATGAGTATAGGAAACTAGAGGTGAACTTTAATTTCATCTAATCTGTTACCCCTTTGAAACTTGACCAGAAAGTCTGCACAAAATCTCAAGAGGAATAAAATAAATTGCAGTTAATTCTAATAAACTCGCTACTCTTCCAGAATCGTGAAGAAAACTCTTGGTGCTCTCAGCCATGAGAATCTCTGAATCTCTGATTAACATGTTGGCCTTCCAAAGTGCTATTCTACTGATGTTCTTTCATCATCTCTGGGGAAATAATAACTTCTTCTAGTAATAATATTTTAGATGTTTCTTCTGTCTTTTATCCCAGGGAGTGCTTTACTAGACAAACAAACCACTACAGGAACTCAGTCTTCATTGTGTCGAGAACAGCAGGAACCTGGGACACAGACCACAGCATGTAAGGGAAAAAGCTGGCTTTCTTGTGACACAGAGATGGGATTCCTCATTTTAATTTTTTTATGTATATTGAAAGCAGCAATATTGTTTCCCCTGTAGTGTTAGATCAGTAAAGTTTATCTGCGTTAAGTTATTCTTTTAGAACTTCAGTTTCTGTATTTTTGCAGTGCATCCTCCTCACTGTGTTAGATGGTGCAACTGCTCTGTTGTGCACCTATAGAAACTTCCCCTAAACTCTTCAGAAAGATTTATATAAGTCCCAACTTTCTCTGACATGGAAGTTGAATCATATTTAACCATTGTTCTTCTCATGGTGTTAGCAGTGGATTCTGTAAAAACGGAAATGTGTCCCCAAACTTGTAGATATGTGAAATTCCTTTATAATTCCAGTCTTTACATATCCTAACAGTACTTGCCCATAGTGTTAATAGCCCTAGCTGGACCTTGCATGATCCTTAAGCCCCAGGAACAAATTGTACAATGTCAAATGAGGGTTGTGTTATTCTTGTTCTGTAATAGCTGACAATGTTATTCTCTAAGCTAAATTTATGGTCTCTTTTTGCTGGAAAAAAATTCCATTACGAAACTGGTATTCTCAGGAAGAAAAACTTGAGTATTGCTAGTAATTTTCCAGGCTTAAATTATTGAAGATCATCAACATAACCATAAAATATATCAAGGACAATTTCTTACAAAACGTATTCTGGATCCTGTCCTTCCAAGGGATATGCATAACCACAAAGAAAATATAGCTAAAATATAAAGACTTGATACTTACAGGGATTTGAGTTTAATTAGAAAATCAAACTGGTCTATTTGTACTTTCTTGATGGGGTTGTAAGAAAGATTCCTGTAAATAAAACATAAGTAACTTTGGCTATCTTCCTTACTGCTTGTTCTAAAAATAAAGTGAAACTTCATAACCCACTTGCTTTTCTAGTCCTGTAGGAAGGACTTGTACCCTTGGCAGTTTACAATTGCAAAAGGTGAGAATCATTTAGCATTATTTAACTTCCTAAGCCAATGGAAAGAGTGGTCGGATGCTTCACAAGCATGCTATTGCCACGTACACACACAGAGACACATAACTTCCTCCCCCAACCTGATGCTTAAAGGTTCTGACTATAGAAATATTTAGTTATTAATCTTTACAGACTTGTCTTTCAAGTAAAATAAGATATCTGAACTGCATGCATTTAGAAAAATTACAATTGATTTTGCATGTGAGTTCAAGGGACAGGGACAGAATGGAAAAATAAACATTAGCATTATACTCTGTCACTCTGTGCAAGAGTATTTCTAGGTACATCCTCTTTTACTTCTCCCTGTAACTTTTCTTTATGTTTTCATCTTAATATTGTAATTAAAATGCGCAAACTCAATAAATGCAACTGTACACACTTGGTTGCCCCAGTGTATTGTTATGGATCCCAGGGATGCTGGAAAATCTCAAAAATAAGTTATACTTATTTGTGAGTACTACCTCCTCTTCGTCAGAGATCTTCAGTGTTGTGACTAGTGCCTCTTTCAGACTATACAAGAAAGACTGGGACTTTCCAGCAGAGGCATTTGAGAATTTGCCTGTATATGTGTCATAGGAAAAACAGAAACTATCTTTCTGGCTTTATAGTAACTTATGCTTTTTTTGGAACTCTTTCATGAGAACAAAGCAGTTGCAATCAAGGCATCTCTATGATGCTCTTATGTGTTTATGATCTATTTTTTGAGGCAAATCCTGCTATTACATTAAATATGCCCATCAAATTATTAATTTCTTATGATATAGCTAGCATAGATAATTTTGTATATACTAATAAGATCTAGAAAAAGGTAGAATTTGAACTTGCTATCTTTTGGTATGTGAAAATGCACATCTTTTACAAAATTATTCTGGATAAAAGGTTATATAGAGTTACTTTTGGGATAAGTGTACTTTAGGCAGAGCTTAAATGATGCATACAAACAAATGTGCTCTTCTCTTTCCTAGCACACATGATTAAAAGTATCATATCAAATGAGAAATATACAGTTATATATAATAATAACCAAGAATCCTTACAGTTGTGAAAGCTCCTTTAGATCCTTAAATATATATGGAGGAAGTGATTCAATCTTGTTGCTACCCAAATCTCTGCAGAAACAGGAAGGATACAGTAAACACTTATTAGGCTCAATAATTTTACCAAACAGTTTTGCAATTTCAATATACACAATTTTATTTTATCTGCCAAATAGGATATTGTTTATTCAAATGTTATTAGAAACTTGTTACCAGAAACTTCTATGTTAATAGAATACTATTAAAACAAGGTGGGAAGCCAGATTCATCAAATCTTTCTCTGTGTTACTAGTTCAGATGTACCTGTCATGGTTTGAAAATTGCCCCCCCTGGGAGCTGGGGGGCTGATAGATGAGGTGATTGGATTCCAGGGCAGTCTCCCCTGGAGGGCCAATCACTGCTCATTTCATTCGCTTCTGTGAAAAATCATATATACACAGCTGCTGGAAGTGGTTGGCAGTCGGTCTGTCTGACTGCTGCTGTGTCTGCTGCTGTGTGGGTGTGAGAAAGTTCAGGGGTGGCACGGCCCCCTTTTTTTTCCCCTGGGGGAAGGGGGGCCCTGAGGCCCCACAGCTCTGGCTAAGCCAGGGTTGGAGGCAGCATTGGAGTGTTGTGAGAGAGAGAGAGAGAGAGACTCACAACATAAGGTAAGGGGGGAGAGAGACAGGCAAGCTCCTTACGAGGAGCCAGGCCCCCCCCCCCCCCCCCCCCCCCCTTTCCAGCTAGACTGCGGAGGGGGCTTTCTTTTCCCTCTCACTGTAAAGTGGAGGGGAGGCTCAGCATTGAAACCGAGCCGAAGTGGATGGGCTGAACGCAGGCCGGTGCCAGGGAGATAACCCCAGGTGAAATTGGAGACAGACCAGAGAAAGGCCTGGAGGATGTCCTTGCAGTGATTTAAATGATGGAAAGCCGAAAACTCGGAGGAAGAATGAAGATTCTAGGACGCATACATGCGATAAGCTGAACTGAACTACAGCAGCACAGAACCGAGGCATGAGAGAGAGAATCACACAGCAGAGACTGACATGGAAGCAAGGACCATGGACTCAAACTATCTTCTTGGACTTCGTAAGGAAGAAGAGACTTCAGTAAACAGCTGGAGGTTGGTGTGGGGAGTGAACTCTTTTCCCTGAACATTCCCACGAGAGAAAGACTGTTTACCTATCAGCCTGAAGGGCTTTTCCTGGACTGAATTGAGGGACAAGCTTAAAGGGACTGATAGAAGTGTGTAATATTATGTATATCGTTGCTTTTAGCTTGTGCAGTATATTTGTTTGTGTAAAATAAATGTATATACTTCACCTTTTCCCTTATTGAAGCCTCTTGCCTGAAAGTTTTTCCTCGGTGTTGAGATAAAAATTGTGGGAAGGGGTGGGGGAAGCCTGGAAATTGGATTTTAGATTTTTGTGGTAGCTCAAACCACCAGAGTACCATTAGACATAACTTACAGTTATTTTGTTTCTATCAAAATTAATTTTTAAATTAATTAAACATATTGTTTCATGATGAGAATTCTTTCACATGGGCTAAACAGCACATCTGTACTGTTTTTGCCTCTACTTTTCACCTTATTTTTACTAAACATAAATCCCAATAAAAGAGGAGTAAGGATCTCAGTCCAACTGAAGCTGGCAAACTGGTCTAAAAGACACTGAAGGCACACGTGCACTGGACTGTGGTAATGCAAGATGAATATTATTCTGTTCAGGGAACATAACAATCTTGTGAGCAAAAGCCCCAGTATTATTGATACAGACTATGCATTTTGTTGACTATTTCTTCCCTGTTCAATACACATTAAAAAAACATAAGAAAGGATGACATCTCCAGAGCGTGTCATATGAAATAGAATTTATGATCAATGATATTTTCAATATAAATTACCAAACTTTGTGACTTGTACAAATAAGAGAAGAAATCTACTCACAATTCATCTAACATCTGGAGAGAAGAAAAGCTGTTTTCATTTAGAGAGCTGATTTTATTTCGTCTCATCACCCTGAAAGAACAAAACAAACTTACGTTACTCCTTCTTGATATCTATTTGGTTTTGGAGAAACGGTTTTATAAATTTTAAAAATTTTCTCTTTTCTGCATCTTCAATTCGAATTTGCCCAAATCAGTTAACAAGCTAATTTAATCTAGAAGCTTGCCATTTTATCATTTGGTAAGTAATTTTTTTTGCCTATACATCCTATACATGCATATACTTCCTCATGTGTATATACATACACACACATATACACACTCAAGGGAAGCTGGTGTAAATTGACTGAGGGCAGGAAGAACATTGAGTGGACTGGAAGGATTGTGACCTAATCACATCTCAGACACAGGCACATGGTTGTGCAACTTTTCATTCACTCTTATTTCATCTGCCACTGAACTTGCTCCTTAAATGAACAACCAGGATTTTAAAAACAATGAGAAAGCCAAGAATAGAATATAAAGAAAATACCATGGAGACTACTAATCTCTCAAAAAGTGGAAGGGATTTGCTGAAGATGGTTACATCATCATTGAAGAAACTTTGAGGAAAATTCTAGAATTGATGAGCCAGGCAACCTACCAGCCAATCAAAATCTTTAAAATGAAGCAACAAGCTATGCACTTTGTACATTTTCTGCTTTTTATTATGAGATTTTTGCCTCCAAGAAAAAAATTATAATGAAAATTTCTAAACCTTAGTATCAGCCAAAATCACTTCAGTGAAGTTTAGTTGCACATTTCACTGCTGAACTTTGCTATAAATGTAAACAGTGATTAATTCCCTGTGGGGGTCATTTCAAACAAAACATTTTAATAATATACTCAAGAAATAAATAACCATGATACTCAGGAAACTTTTCTATTAGCTGTAATGAATCACTTGATTGTTCAGCACAGGCATATCTCACTCTGGCTAGCCAGCATATCCTATTACTTACAATACAGTTAGAGTGCTGCAGGAGATGAAAGTAGCATTTCTCACATGATGGATATGGTTCCCTTCAAGGTCTCTAGAATATAAAGAAAACCCCATTAATAATTGAAAATAAATTCAGGCAGTTATTCTAAGGTAATTAAAGAAAAATACTATCAGAACTTCATCACTGCACAGAAGAAAGTGGGAGATAGACATGTAATAATTCTGCACACTTAATTGATGACTTCAGGTCATCAAATCTGCAGTGACCCAGCAGGCAGTCTGCAAGATCCTATGCCCCATTAGAAAAAGTGTCATGGAAGTGTCATACAAAGACAACAAAATAATATTATTCTAGTGAAATAAGGTATACTTACAGCCAGTTTAGTCTTGGCATATATTGGCACAGAGGTTTATCAGGCAAACGAGCAAGAGAATTATTCATCATTTCCCTGGAAAAAAAGAGGAATAGTATAGCTAGTTGAATTTGCCCAAAAGTAATGTTATAGAAAAAAATTGATGTCTCTTCTCTTTGTACTTTTGGAAAAAAAATAATTCAAATCTTAATTTGTTTCTTATAGTTTTGAGAAAATAGTACTATTTTCTTAAACTTCCACATATTTTCACTGTGGCATTCTGTGGAGCAGTATTTTATCCTTAACTTGTTAAGGTAAAGGAAAGATGTTCATTTCTCTGCTATTGAAATAAAACATAGCAAGCCAACACAATGTGCAATTCAACAGCAGTAGGTTATAGACAGTGATTTGGGGGGCAGAGCTGGGCTGCTGCAAGGGGCAGGGACTATGGGACACCCTCCTCCTGCACCACAGCTCTGGAGGACAACTGGAACTGCACAACTACTGCAGCTACCTCGTCCTTGCACTCTCAGTGATGCATTTTACCATTTTCTCCCCCCATCTCTCCTAATCTTTTCCAGACATGGCGTGCCCTACTCCAACACATTTTGCCCAGGGTAAGAATAAGCTTCAGATGTGCTGCCAACACTCTGTGGTGAGCAAGCACAGTCATTATAAAAAACTTTAAAATGTGTGTGCTCTTTCTATTCTGTTCTTTTAAATAACTCTTTTGTATCTTATTTCATACTTACAGAAGAATAAGTGATTTGAGTCCATAAAATGTTAATGGATAGATCCGATTTATCCTATTATTTTCAATTATCCTATAAATTACAGCAAAGCATGTATCAGATTGACAATTGACTTGAGTATTAAATTGAACAGATAATAAAAAGTAACATACTTTATAGTGGATTTCTTCAAATGTTCAGTCAAACTACTTAAAAAAATTAGCCCACTACTCCTTAACAAGTTAAGGCCCTAACTGAATTAATTTCCTTTCAGAAAAATTCAATTAAAAAAATTAATTCTGAGAAAGTAATTAATTTCATCTTAGAAAAAGTGTTTTCCTTTGAGTTTTTTAAATTCTTTGATCAAGATACTTTGAATGGATTTTCTGTGAAAACAAAGCAGCACAACACAGTAGTGTTCTGTGGTGATCCAACAGTTCCAAAGACATGGAAGAAGGTTAGACATATTATTTTCTTATTTTTAATGACTTTTCTTGGTTGAAATCTGTCTGAAAAGCAGTAATAAGAAAATATTTCAGATTATGACAGATATTTTGTCTGGACATTTCAAGCATTATTTACAGGAAAAGACCGGCCCAAAAAATTATCTTTCTACTGTTTTATAGTATCTGAGTTATTTAATTTATTAATTTGTAACAAGCAATTGCTAATAGACATTATTTACTATTGTATATGCCATCAGTCACTGGAGCCATTAAGGCCCAAGAACTTTTTTCTGCTCTCACCAAAGTCAATTGCATTTTTACCTTGCACAATACAACAGGAGCTCCTTAGTTGTTATCTAGTAAAAAGTACTGCTATGCACAAAAATGGAAGTTATCCAATTTTTTCTCTTTTATGAATTATTTATTGAATTAATAAATTTATTGAATTTATTTATTGAATAAATAAACATACAAATAAGAAAGCAACATACAGCCATTCAAGTCTGTGGAGGTCTGCAAAAACAAAAGGCTCCAAACTAGTTATCTTGTTGTTACTCAGGTATCTAAAACAAGATCAACCAAAGATAAATTAATGGAATGATTAATTAGCAGTAGATGCATGAAAATGAGTTTTAATATTATTTTTTCCTTGATAATTTATCAGAAAACTACTACTTTTTTCATAATTATAATTTTTGAGTATGGTAATTTTCATGCCATTGTTTGACAAGACTCTCTCTAGTGAAGACTTTAAGAGTAATTATTAGAGCACTTTGTCTTATCTATAAGAAAGCACAGCCAGCTAAATATTTTCACTGTGTCATATTTTAGGCCCTTCTCTGTTTCCTTCTGTAGAGTGATTTGTTCCAAGAATGTTCCCTGGACCTGTTCAGTTTTTGCTAAGGATACTAGTCATAAATGTAGATGCCAGAATAATGGAACAAGAAAGGCTGAAAAAGAGGGGAAGAGGTACTATAAATGATCTGGGAAGATAATAACAGCAGTTGTAATAACAGATAACCAATGGAAAAAATAAGAGGTACAATTTTAAAAAACTTTCATTTTAAAAAATATTGCAGAAAAAATCTTAATCAAACAATTCAATTTATGTGTTGTCTCTTTCATCTCTTGAAAGCATCTCTTAAAGGTTGGAAACACCTTTTAAAAAGCTGCTGCAAAATAAAGAAATAAGTGTTCCTTTCATTACCTATACTGGTTACTTTGAATTGCTTCTGTAAACCAAAATAACAGCATTAAAGAGTTTTCATCCATCACAAGCTCTCGCTGTCATTTTACTTCTTTTTCATTCTCTTTGATTTTCTGCAGGGTAACTATCATACTATCTCCTTCTTCCATTCTGATGATATGAGGAGTAGGAGTGAAGTATGGAGCCAACTTGTATTTTCAAAGTATCGTCCTGCACAGATAACTCTTAATCTGTCTTTGCTTTCTCAATCCAATTGTTGAGTTAAAGATTTGGACCATTTTGTAAGTTCCTAACATGGAATGAAATAGAGTGAGACATCCATAGCGACTCTCAGAGCTCTGACTGCTGGTTTTTACTTCAATATTCTAAAAGCAATACTTACAATTTTGTCAAATTGTATAATCCTTTGAAAGCACGTTCAGATACAGCTCTAATTTTATTATTCTGAAGATACCTAAGAAGATAGAAACCCAACAATTAATTCTCTAAATAAGCACAGTTAAAGCAAACCTAAGTAAATAATTAAAGTCTATCAGCTAAACTGAATGTACATTTTATACTTTAAAATAAGTTTTCAAACTTGTTACACCTCGAATTTGACAATAACCATTTCACAGCTATATCTGCAAAGACTGCAATGGTGTTTTTAAAGAAATACACATGAAGAGTAGAATTACAAAATTCATTCAAGGGGACGCTTGCTTTGCCTGAGATGAACAGGTTGTTTACAACCTCCTTGATTAGGTCCTAAACTTACAGCGCTCACCTGTGTGACCCGATCTTTGTGTTTAGCCAGATCTCTGCTACAAGCAAAATTTTGCACAGAAAATATTAGTTTAAAACAATTTTTGAATTTTCCATTTGTAGTATCAGAGAATTCTCAAAATGCTGCATTTTTAAGATAATATAATAAAAATGTACAGCAAATCTTACTAATCTTCTCTAAAGGAAAGATACTAATTTTTTAAATTCTGGCTTTCTTTAGCTACTTTGATGAAATAATGAGGTGAAAATATTATCAGCTGCAAATATTAAATAATTTTCAAATAATTTTAAAGCATTATATTGTTATTCTCTGAGCAATATTTAAATATAAGTTCTTTAAATTAAATTACAGTTAATAAAGCATCCAGATGCATTCCTGTTAAAGCAATAAGAGATCTGACATTGGGCTTCTGTCAAACACTGTTCAAGACCTTTTGGAAAATGTAAATCATTCAGATCAGATGGGTGTGAAGTCAACTTTAGAAGCAAGTGTTTTGTACAGATAGACATTGATATGTTTCTTTTAATGAAAATGTACCTTTCAAGACTGTAAGGTCATAATGACACTTAACTTTAAGAACACAAGATGGTGCTGCAGCACAGCACAGTTCCCGTAAAAGAGAGCTTTAAACTGACATAGAAGCCCTGCTCTAGACTTTACATTTAATTTTTAATTTCACTAATTCTAGATCAAGAAAAATTATTAAAGTCTATGATTTTTTAACAACATAAATGTTACTCATTGTAAATATTACACAGTATTGTTCTACCATAACAATTTGACTAGTTGGGGCATTATTGGGTTGGTACCAGACATAATTAGAAGTAAAACCACGTGCCATGTGACTGAACTTCCCATGACAGTGGGAAGTTTGAGTTTCCAAACTTTTGTTTTGCAGAATAAACAGATTGACCTACTTTAATTTATTTTGGCCTATACTGTTCATTATAAATGTAACTTTCTTCAGACACAATGAAAGTTTAGCATTTTTTTGCTATAAACCAGTCCATAAAAAAAACATTAAATATGCAGAGATTATGGTTTTGAAAAAAATAGATGTCAAATCAAGATACTTGAGCCAAATGGGCTACATATGATGTATTGAAGGGTGAGATTAACCAGAATTTTGTTACTTAGATGTTAAGCTCTGTGTGTGTGCATATATGGAAGAAAGAGAGGATGAATGTTTAAGGCACTAAATAGATATTTTAGGTTGAAGTACTCCCTTACAGATTTTTAAGATCTTGATATTTCTTGAAAACATCAGCAGAAAGTTTTCTTAGCAGATTCCTCTGAAGAGACCTGTAGGAATGAATGCATACAGTAAAACTACTGTCCCAGCTTCCTATAGTGCTACTACTTTTGTTATTCAATAAGAGCAGCTCTCACACTGCTAAATAATGAAAGCAACATGAAACTATCTGAACATGCTACTTCTGTTTATCTGAATATTTGTATCTGTTTAAACAGTAAAATAAATACTTTATAATAATTAAAAAAATTCTTCCATGTCCCCAGGAAAACTGGCAATATAGTAATTAAATCTAAGAATGAAAAAGTTTTGAGTATAAACTACAGATTTATTTCAAACATCAAATGCATATAGAGCTTATTTCCCAGTTCATGTGTCTCTATGTCCCCGTCTCCACTGGAGTACTCAAGTGTCCCATCAAAATCAAAATTCCTTCGGGGCATGGTTGGATTAGAAGAGAATCGAACCTGAAAGGCAGCTGAACCAACTCAACAAGGAGAACATCAGCCACGAGTGAGCACAGACCGGTACCGTTCGGAAGGATCCGTACCCTTGCTCTACAAGGCAGATCCTCAGCTCAGGACACATGATGCTGCACTCTGCTCACTACACATAAAACTGCCTTTCAAACAGTGATATGCAAACCAAGTGCACATCAACCATTTTCTCATCTCTTAAAAAGGTTTGGCTTATACATAAATATCTTTGTGATGACTCAGCCCATATTAAACCCTTTCAAATAACAGTGTATTCAGACACATAAACTGAGAACTAAAAAGATTTGCTCAAGCAGGTAGCTCCACTGATTTCAAGATTATTGACTTTATTGACAGAAATACAGACTAGGAATATTGGCAGGAGTGTAGTATAATAAAAAGGTTCTAAGCATTGTGTCTTTAAAGGAAAATTCTGTAGATTTCTTTAGATTTTCTGAAATTCTTGCTAGCTCAAGTCACTCTTACAAAAACAAAATTTTCACTTCACACAGAGTTTTTTAGTTTCTTTTCTCTCTTTTTGTGTAGGGAGAATCTCTACTTAAAACATCGAAATACTTGTCAGCAGGAAGACATGGTGCTTTCCAAGCACCAGCTGAGCCAACTGATCATAATTGTAAGGCTGGAGCTGTGAAAAGGTTTCAGGATTGATAATCAAACCTGAACAGAGCAAGAGACTACATTACTTCTTTACTTACATTACGGTTATGTTTGAAGAGACTGATGGGACAGCTCGTAATTTGGCAGCATCACAGAAGATCTCCAGCCCTTGGCAGGTACACTCTGATGGTACATCACCAGCCACTGCACGGGAACAAGAACATGGTTGTGGCAAAAGGTGGGATGTGTGGCGTGATGGGATGTGAAGAAAAGAAATATGGTGTAAAAGAACAATGAGCACAAAGGCAGACATAGCAGGCTCTGTTACACAGAAATTAAGGCATGTTTTTACATAATTGATTTTGACCTGGTAAGAACCTAACAATAAATATAAAGGAACACAAAAATTATTTTACCTTCTGACCTCTGTGAAAGGGCTTTTAAAAGCTCTTGAGACTTAGGGTTGTTGTACAGGAATCTGACATCGGTTTTTTGAACCACTTATTTAGATTATTCAGTCCTCTTATTTTACTAGAATGAGCACAGTTCTGCTTGGGTGAAAATGCGTTGAAAATGGGTCAGGAAATCTTTACTCCCTTTCAGTCCAACTCTGTTTTAAATTACTGCTCACAGTAGGTAGCAGAATCAAAAAGTCTGTACAAAGACCTGCATAGGTGGAGCAGGTTTGCAAGTTTCATTTGATGTACAAAGACACAAACTGGGGAGAATATTACCTTCATTTAATTCTGAAATATGTGTGAAATATATGTCTTTCCAGCAGTATCAACATATTCAAATAAACATTTATATTATGCTCCTAATTGGAATATGTTAATTGGCATATGTTTGGCACTCCTCTTGCAGAAAATGAATCATCCTTAATGAAACTGAAATTAACTTCAAATTAGCATTTGTTTATCTGAGACATTAATTCTGTTTTACTATAAATGAAACTGCATTATCTTTCTCTTCCTGATAAACATATATTTGCTGTGTATTTTTCTCTAGGAATCATCATTAATAATCACTCAAATAATATCTGTAATTACTTACAGCACTCAGGTGTCTTTTTCTGAAATGCATACAGAGATTTCAGTTTATTGTACTTGTCCTTTGTATAATGTTTATCAAACTGCAGAGACCATCCATTGTTGTCTTCTAATAAAAAAACAAACAAAACCACAACACAAACAGACCACAAATAGAAGACATTAGAATACAAACAGAAGGTAGTAATATCTTCACTTAATTTAGTTGCATCAAGTTTTATCCAAACAATATGAGATTTCACAGACCGTTAGATAACCTTATCTTTTAGAACTGCCTAATCAGACGTAGCTATGGAGATTATAAACTGCATAGTAGGAACAATTTATTACGCCTTCAACAACTTTTTCTGTGACAGTCACACTGAAAAAACTACAATCTTGACATTAGAAATTTTTGTTTACATGGGAGTCTAAATATGAGAGGCAACCATATTTCCCTACATTCTTAAATGTGTTTGTCACTTTGTCCATGGAAACTGAAATGATTACTGTGACTCTGACTTATTCTTTCAGAGAGCCATCTTGCACTATCACAGCCTATAATTTCTTTTTGAAAATCTAGATGAAGGCCAAAGGAGCACTGCTTTTCAAGAGAAGGGGAGGCTTGGTGTAATGTATTCAAGGTAGTGTGTTTAAGTTAAGCTTAACGGGCATCTTAAACAAAGCATGATTCCATATTATCAGTTTGGTCACTGCACATAGATACACTGGAAATGAGTTTATGGCTAAAAAAGCAAAAATTGAAGAGCAAACCTTTCAGTTCCTTCCACCAAAGGGACATTTCAAGATACAGTGGTGCTGGAAATAACTTCAGATACATTAGTTGTTTGTTTCTTGGAAGTCTATTGTGTATGGGAGATCTGTAAATTAACTGATCAGGTAACCACTTCCAAAAAAGGGTGGAAAGGGAAAGGTAACTTGCCTTTAAAAGCTGTGATTGGATTTTAGTTGTATCAGTTTGAGTCTGACTTCTCTTTACCTTTGACACACCCTTTTAGTTTAAAGCGTCTCATTTAATGAACCCTCACAGCAGCAGAAATGCTCCTAATGCATTTTGAACTGAGTGAAAGGTCTTGGCAAACCTGCAGAAACATTGCTGTTTCGTTTTAAATCCTTAGAAGAAGCTCAGTTTTAGGACTGCCTGCAACATGGAACTTGTAATTGGCGAAGCAATGAGAACAGACCCTTTGCCAAGTGGCAATTGCCTTATAAACCTACTGCCCCGTAAATGTGACCATAATGAGGTTTTCTTTATCATTATTCCTGAATATTTAGCTGGAGCACATCCATTGACTTTCATTTGTATGACTGGGACCTGAAGAAACTGGTGGGAACACAACATATGCAGAGAAGGTAAGATTTAAGAAGAAAGGAATCTTTCGTTGAGTGTTTTTAAAAAGAAATTTGTAAAGATTTTTAAAAATGAGATTCTTCTTGAAGTTTTAATCATACCAAATAAATGTTTTGCAGTCAGGAATATAGTCTCAAAGACTTTTGGATTTTCTAAATCATAATTATGGTAGTAGAAAGTTTTGGACAACTAACCACTTATCTGCACATTCTAAACATATAGTTAAGAGCCATAAATTCTAATCCACCTGTAAGCCAATGAACACATAAAGTATAATTTTTCTGCATTTCCCTGCTGCTGACTCTAGAGTGGATATGCAAGGTTTCATTCCACCTTTTTGTACTTTTAAAATTCTTTGCCATGTGACACAGTATGTACAGGAGGTGACATCACTGCACATCTGCAGAGAAAATGAGTAGGGCCCCCCACACTAATGGGAATGATGGAGCAGTTCGCTACAAAGGAAAGGTTCAACAGCATTTTTGAGGAAGTTGAGAGGCAGCTGTGTATTTTTGGGTGGCCATAAAAAAAGAAGGGAAAAAAATCGCACTGAAGATGGATTATTTCGTACTGGAATCATTCCAGTTTGGAGTTTCTAGTCAGTTTATTTCAAATAATGGGTTTTTCTCATGGAATTGATTTTCTTGCCTTCTACTGGAAATACAAAGGCATATCTAATCTAACAAGTTGTTAAAGGTTTTTTGACCTTCAGAAATATACGCTGTGGGTCAAGTTTTATGCCCAAGCCCGGGACAGTCTTTATTTCATACAAACTATTTTGTCAAATCCTGAAAGAATGTATTGTGCAAATAACTATATTTAGTAGAAACATTTGATGAAGCATTCAATGGCAGAATTGTAAATCACTTTGTGATTGTTTAGAGTTTATATGGAAGGTTTGTGACCTGTTAACCTCTTTTGAGGCGAGGTTCTCCAAACACTTTAAGAAATGACTGGTAATAGTACTGGTCTTGAAATCCCAAATCTATCATTGAGAGAGTACAGCTCAGATGACAAATTGCTTTTCGCCTGAGCCAGTTCTAAAATAGATTATGTTGGCTGTGCTTCTGTAAAATAACCAGAGATCTAGGAAAACAAGGCATCATCAAATCTTCTTTTACATGGGATAAGTGAAATAAGTGTTGGTAAACTGGATTTATCTTACTACAGATTAGTACATTGTTTCTTGCTAAAAGTTGCCAATTACTACTTCTGATGGGAACAAGAAAGAGCACTTTAATCCTGACAAACTACAGATTTGAGTAATCATTTCGGTAACAGATCCAAGAAAATATCATCTTTGCTCAATTAGAGGCACACATCTTACTTAGTATGGAGCTTATGGTCAGGATGTTATCTATATGACTTTCCCCTTCTCTGGGCCATGTCTTCATTATGCAGAGAAATGCTATCAGTTAAATGCATAAACACTCTAAAGAGACACTGTTGTGTCTCCCTTTGGTTTTGCCTTTGCTGTTGGTGGACATATTCTTTCTATCAGTTGTTCAAATAAACTTTCTCTTGCTGTAAGAAATTACCTCAGGCTTTTCACAAAGATATCTCTTCATACAAGGAAAACTCATTTCCTTTAAAAATGTTTACAAATGTAGAAATATAATTGCCCTTTTCCACAGTGTTGGGGCACACTGATACAGCCTAATAACTTACAGTAAGACCAAAACCACACCGAGATTTTACCAAGTGGAGTGTTGTGGTGTCTGGAGCATTCAGATTTATGAGGGAATTTCACAGTCCCAGTTTACATATCCAAGCAGAAAAAATTAAGAACTTAGAACTGGACATCTTATCAGTCAATTCAAAGGCAATTTACCCCACACCCAACTGTGTGTCACTGCACATTGGCTGCCTCCTGTACCTTCTGGTTAATTGAAATGTGGTTCTTCTGCTTATATGTGACAATGCAATCATAGTAAAACAGACAGGAAATAAATCAATTCAAATAAGGTTTACAGTTCTCAAGATGAGCTAGATTTTATGCCTACCAAGTTTATTCTTGATTTTAAAACAACTTAATTAAGCTAGTGCAACTTTTAAGAAAATAAGCAGGCTCAAATTTCCAAAAGATAAACATCTTCTCAATACTGCATCTTTATTCCCATAAAACACATGCACAGAGGAGCTTTTTAGTTTTATAACAATACTTTCAATCTATATAAATTATTCTGATTTTCTATTCAGTTTTTCTCAAAGTATTTTCAATTTTTTAAATAAATTAAAAAGAGTTAATGGCATGAATACACCTATGAAACCTTTAGTTGCTTCAAAGTTCACTTGGCGATACGCCACTACCATGGAGATCAGGAGAGACATAAGTCTAGTGAAATGTAAAAGTTCCTCTTAGTTATCAACAATATTTAAAGATTCAATAGCAAAATTGATTAAAAGCCTCCAGAAGTTCAGCAAAGCAATTATATTTGCTGATACTTGCACATCAGAGAAAACCTGATTATTTCAGTGCCATATACTGTTGACAAATGGCAATGACAGCAAGAATAAAATTTGACTATAGAAAAAAATTTCCTCATGAAGCTTGAAAATCCTATCTTTTGCCAAGTATTTGAAACATATTAAGTACACTACGGACTATCAAATGTTTATTTTATGCTTCAAAACCAAAATTTATTATTTAATGAAATAATAAATGAATGAAATGAAATGAAACTGAATAGTGCCTCATACATTAAAATCTCATATTTTAAGTATGATGGGAAATAATACCATGCCAGGAAAACATAAGACTATAACATTATTCATTATTAGTATTAATTTCAAAAATAAAATTGTCAAGGTCTTCTGCAATGTCATGAGGCAAAAATGGGAAACTGAGACCGTCTAAAGTTTCTCATCCCTTATGAGTAATCCTGTAATATTAAAGCATATATCTTTTGTACAGATGTTTTGAAACATAGACATTTAGATTTCTGCTATGGAAATCTAGATGGTGATTTAATGAATCTACAGAACTGCAATAATTGTCTGTAAATCTATAGACCTTCAAAGAAACACATATGAAAATACCATGAGATAATATAGAGTATTATTTTATCCTGTTAAGTTTTTATAAACCCGTCAAAAAAAAGATGTAATATGTTGTAACTTATTAAACAAGGCAAGCTAGTCACCCCGTGAAGTGTGTGGCACATAGTAGCAGACGAGGTCTTGTGTTTTTAGAGGCAAATAGGTGCAAGACTTCAAACAGCTGCTCCCTGCCCCAGTTCTTCTGGAAACCTGTGTGATTTTCAGCCTATGAGCTACACAGAGCTTAACGAACCTCTATAAGCGATCTTTGCAACTAGGGAGCAGAATGCTGTCTTCTGTTCAGAGACTTCTTAGGCCTGGGAGCAACACAATGACAAATACATTTAGCCAGTGAAGAACTCCTCCAGAGTCAGAAACAAATTAAATCTGTATGCCTGTTCTTGCTTCATTGGACTGGAAAAATGTGGCTATGACACTGTGATTAAAAAACAAATGCAGACACACTGCAACCATTGCCTAGCTGCCAAAAAACAGTTTTGCAGAACTATCAGCAAAATTGTCCAGAAGCCAAATTTTTAAACACTGAGGAAACTTGTGCTCTTAAAATAGCTCAGGCTGCTTTGTTCCATTAACTGCTCTGCATAATTAAAGATGCTGCTTATGAAAAAAGATAAAATCAAACACTGTTACATTGTCTCTTCCATTGCCAATTTTATTACTGCTAAAGTGTAGTCAAATGTGTAACAGCAGTTGCTGGT